CGCAAAACAGGTCAATTTATATCCTTTATAACGCTTGATAAATTCATTTCGAAGATTCTCCATGATAGGTTGTTCATGAAGTTTGACGAATTGGTCACGTATTGTTTCATTCATAACCTCCACATCACAAGCGTGTGTCCAGAAACTATCATGCACAGAAGCAAACTCCAAATTCTTTTCCTTACAACCCAGTGCAGTCATTAACATATGGGTCGCATCAAGTGAATGAATAAAATTAGGAGGAAATGCCGCCCGTTGCTTAATAGAATTCACCGGACTAGGAACACCTGGATCTTCAATGTTAATAGTTTGAAGATTTGTTTTGACGGCTTTCTTGCCTAATTTACGATAAGGCTGTACAATAGGCAAGTCTAATGGTGTGGTCCAAACTACAGTTGTCATTTGATTTAGACCGGGTTTACTAGGTGGTATTATGACAATAGATCTTTTTTTATTAGTCAAATTGTTATGTTTATTCTCCTCGTCGTCATTTATTTCATTTATATTATTATTCATATTATTTTCTTCGTTCCCATTCCCAGAGGAATCTTGTAAATTTTCTAGATCATTATCCATAAAATTTTTACCTTCAATTCTATGTTCAGATAAACTTTGATCCGAAAATACAACTTCTGATGGTACACTTTTTGAAATCCGCTTAGCACATTCAACAAGCCAGTCTTGAATAGCTCTAGCTCCATGAAACATTTCTCCAAGACATTTAAATACGAGTTTAGTAATGTATAACGATAAATCTCTAACTTTTTCCTGAGGAATGTCTTCAATCTCTTTAAGACGGGATTCTATTTGTAACCTGGCCCCAACGAAAGTCACGCCATAAACACTAGTCATCACAGTTTGTTTGACGACTTTACGAGTAATTTTGCCACAAGATATTATTGCTAGTTCATCATCTTTTTTTGCGTCATTTGCCAACAATTCATTTACTCTTGTAGCCACACCAGTATATATATCAAATGGCTTATCTGAAGGATACAAATTGACCTGTTTTGCA